TCATTAATCCGCGCTATTACGGGTACGTGGATTCTTAACGAGACATAACAGCCCGCCTATCACCGTGACCCGTGACGTCACGTCGAGGCCAATCGATCGCTTTGAGATCATCTCGAATCCCTTTTCCAGTTCTAGTGTATTCAAGAGGTATGGGGCAATACTTATCAAGCGGTATAACGTGGAGCGCCCGACGAGCTGGCTTCTAATCCGGGCATACAGCGAAAATTACATCCTCGGAGACCAAGCGACATTCACCAGAGCTGTGCAAGAAGAGAGAGAGAGAGAGAGTGGAGGGAGGGCATTAGTAAGCCTTTCCGGCTCTGATTTTTCCTCCACGTCTTCTCCTCCGCCCTTCTTTCTTTTCTCTTCCCTCTCTCCTTTTAATTCTCTTCTTTTCCTCTTTTCTATTTTATTAAGCTTCCCACTACCGCCAACCCCTTTCTCTCGTTCCCTCTATCCCCGGTGCTTGCAACCGTATCCGTCGTAAAAGAAAACACGCTCGCTGTCGTAGAAACCGGGAGAGATTCGGTTAAACATTAATTTTCCGGCACAGGTGTTTTCGATAAATCGCAATAAACGGTGGAGAGCGATGATTATAATATCGCCGGCAGAAGCTTTTCGGCTATTTTCAAACGTGTGCGTTCAGTCGAAAACAAGAGAGTTTCGCGATATCGGTAAATATTTGTAATTGAAATATTTGAAAGAGGGTTGCGGAGGGGTGGAGGTGGCGGTGTCGATGGCGCGGTAGGAGGACAGGTGGAACTGGTGAAAATACGGAAGGATGGACGGGGTGTATAATCCAGCAAGTGGATTTCAATGATTTTCCAGTGAAGCAGTTTCGCGCGAGATACACACGCGCGTAACCGTGGCCGCTTAAAATATTTACCTGGCCACCGGGAGAGATGGAATATAAATACGATTTGCATTCTCGCCCTCGAGATAGAGGGCGATGGAAGGTTCGGTTAGGGGAACGACCACAGTCGGGTCGAGGAGGCTCGAGAGGAGGGCGCGTTCGGGAGGAGGCAAAAGGGGTAGCGGAGGAGTACGAGAGTCGCGAAGGCCTCATTTCCGCCGGAAACAGAGGTTCCCTCACCCTTCCTACGAGTCACCCCCTTCGTCCACCCACACCCTCTTTCGCTGCTACCTTGTCGCGTCCAGATGGCGGCAGAGTCCAATCGAATTAAATACATTCCCAAGGATCGTCCAATCGACGACCTCCGGTGGTGGTTTTTGTCTGGTAGTTGTTCTGCCAATACTACCACTGTCATTTGTGCTTCTTTTCCCCGGCCATTAGTTTCGCATCGTACAACCACCACCGAATAATTTACCTGATTTTACCAGCTTCTTTTTATCAGAGAGAAAGAGAAGGACGTAGCTGAGAGCAGCGAGCATATCGAAAATTCATTAAAGTCCCGTGTAATTGGGTCGAGAAATAGAACCACCGCTGACCCTTCGCATGGCTCTTTTGCGCTCCTCTCCTCGTCGAGATAATTTTGTTTCGAACGATTTCACGTATCGATACGTTTTCGTCGTGATGGTCGAACGAGAAGAAACTATCAACAACGATATTATATTTTGCCGTGGTATTTACGAAGAAGAAGACGAAAGAGAGCGAAACGTTCGGTTGGTAGGTATAAGCGTATTTGAAATCGTCGGTGGGAGAATCGAGGCGTTCCACCTAGTTGTACGTTATATTATTTAAAAAAGTTTCTCCGCCGGGAAGACCATCCATTATCCGCGGTGCACCGATAAATCCTCCAAGGCGTTCTAGCTCCTTGTGTTTGGCGGATATATCAAGGTTTCCTCGTCGTTGTCGCCGTCGCTTTTTCCTCCTTTTCTACACTTGTCCCAACCTTTCCATTTTTCCACGGCGGACTTTCGAATCGGCGGGAGTTTAGGGTGTTGCTTCGGTAAACCCGATAAATTGCCAGATTTGACCAGTCGCGAGGAAGCGTCTCGTCCTCGGGATGATCACTGTAACACGCGAATTCCCGTGAAACTACATTTCGTATTGATGTTAATGTCGAACCGTGGCGAATTCACGCAGTAGCCCTTGATTATCTCGCTTTCAAGGTGTCCCCTCTATAAATAATTCCGTCGTAAATAATAATCGATATTCTCGTTGCGTGGCCGATTCAGCACGATAATAACTATTATCGTTAATAGATGACTCGTTATGCGATCATTACGGTCGCCGATTATGGGGCAGCTTTAAATTCGACGGCAAATTAAATTAAGTAAATGGAATGCGCCCGGTGGTCGTAGATTGACGCGTGAATTTCCCTCGTCTGCTCGATCCTTTCGAAAAATGAAATAATTCCACCCCGAAAATTCAAGAAAACCCGACGATCTTTCTTCCCCGTTTGCTCACGCGCATGTTGCAGATTGCATTCGACGGTGGCAGCCGGTGGTAGTGGTTGTTCGCCTAGGCAGGAACGTAGAGACGGTAAATCCTCGTTAAATCCGGAAAAAAAACAAAAGCTGGAGGGATGGTGAGGACGGCTGCTACCAACGTCCCCCGCGTTCTTTCTCCTCTCGTCGAAGATTCATGTGCAAACTTTTTCGTCAAATTCTCCGTAACAATTATCCGCCTATCTTCCAATTTCTTCTTCGAAAAGAAGAGAAGAAACATCTCTCAGCTCTGTGTTTCTCAGCGTGTTCCAATTTCTCCCTTACGAGCAAACTTGTTTGCACTTAGAAGAGAATGACGGAGGTGCGGCAATCTGAAATCTGGACGCGAGAACGACAGTAAGTGGAGCATTAAGTTGGAAATTTCGGAGCACGAGGTATACAAGAGCGAGAGTTGCGTACACGGTATTCTTGGTGGACGAGTCCAAGAGAGCCACTCGATAGGCTAAGTAAATCAGAGGCCTTTGGTCAAGAGTACAGCCTCCGCTCCGTTTAGGGGTTGGAGCTAGAGGAGAGCAGGGGTTAGGAAAGAGCGACGATAGAGGCTCGATGGGGAGAGAGTAGGGGAGGTTTGCAATAGTGGTGGCAGGAGCAACAAAGGGTTGGCTAAGAGCTCTTCAACGTCCACTCGCTCGCTTTCTCCAACCACCGAAGCATCACCTACTTCTCGCTGCAGCAAGGCTTGGTTGTGCCTGGTGATGTGATTGCTACCGAAATGTGTTTACCGTAAACCGTATCAAACTGTCGACCGTCGACCATCGTCGTTACCGTCTATCTTTTCCGTGTACCCCGTACATCGATAAAGGTACGCACCTCTTATCGATTCGCGCGCGTCTCGACCATGGCGTACACATCGCGCCGGTTTCCCTCGTGAAACGGCCCTTTTACCCTTTGTCTCTCGGCGACGGCTTATAAGTTCCTGTGCAGACACCCACCACCGCGGACAATTTTGCCTTCCTCCGCCTCGCTCTAACGTTATTATTTGCCCCGAGATCGCTCCTTTTCTTTTTTCCCCTCTTCTCTCTCTTCTGCCTCGCTTTCTTCCGCCTGTTTAGTAGTCGAATGGTAATTAAGCGGAAGATTGAAAGGTAACGCAGTTCCCTGTTTTACTTTCACATTTTATTCAAGGTAAGAAGTGTTCGCGTTTAGATCGTTTCGATCGGCGGGGGAAGTTAGAATGGAGTTTGGACGATGCTGTTCGATCTACTTTTGTAACAGGTTTTCCATATCTCGAACAGGCATATAGCCGAGTGGAAACGATAGAATATGGCTAACGGCATCGACACGTGCGTGATGATCGTCCATGCCCATACGCCGAAGAATCGAAGATGATCCGGACGAACCCCTGCGCGAGATTTCTCCAGGGTGTTCACCGTCCATAGGGCGATGTTGACGACTATTAGGAAGGTGATTAGCTCTTTGCCGGGCTTGTCGTTTCTCGAGCAACGCCTTCCCCATGCGATCTACCAAATTTTTCCAACAGTCAGACAGCTGTTTCGCTGTGGAATAATTTACAGTTGGGAGGAAACAGTGGGATTCTTACTTTGATGAGCAACGTTTGGCTGGTACTCTGCACGAAAGCCAACAAATCTGTGATCAGGGAGAGAATCCAAGTGGGTCCCATTGTTAATATATCACCGACAACGCCAAAAAGACAATGCAGATAGACACCGGCTTGAGCTGCTGCCAGTAACGTGGTGTCCAAATCAGAAGGTCTGACGATCTTCTGTTGCAACGCTTGGAGCTTCAAGGTTCCAGCGCTCGAAGCCACCATACCTAAGATTGGATCGTTTTCTGTGTAACTTGGAAGGAGACACTTAACCCTTTCGCTACGAAGGGCTTCAATGTAAGCTGTACGAAAGTGGTCGCTTGTTTACGAAAAGCGTGTATGTATGTCAATTCAGTGCATACAATTTATGAATTTATTTTTGCACTTTGGAAATGAAATATCGCTGTCGACTGAAAATTAAGCAACGCCAGAGTGCACATTTGACTATCGAGAGATTAATTTTCACACTTCGCGAATAAAATATCGTCAGAATGCATCAGACATTCGACTATCGTGAAACAGTTGAATTTTAATTATACGTACAGTGACTTGGACACTCTTTAGAACAGTACAACTTTTTTGAAATTGGATCAGACGACTTGAGTTTTTTTGAGAATTTAGGATTAGTATACTAGATGATGTGTATAAAATTTTTTGAAAATATTCCAATTTGTGGGAATCACGAAGAAAATTGTAAAGGTCACCGTTTACAACTTTTTTACCTGAGCTTGTAACGAAAATTTCAAACATACGTTTTGTAGATTTATGTCAATTACACACATGCTGGAAATTTCATCGAAATCGGTAGATGGAGAAACAAGCGACAGGCATCGAAAGATGTAGGAATCTTCAGATTTATTACAATTATAGGCCGAACGTCGTGAAATAGTGCGATTTTCACAATCTTTAACAATTTGTAGCTCATAGTAAGGTTAACCGATTTCGATAAAATTTTCAGCATGCGTATAATTGGCATAAATCTACAAAACGTATTTTCTAAATTTTCATTACGGGCTCGGATACAAAAGTTGTCGAATGTGACCTTTACAGTTTTCTTCGCGATTTCCACAAATTGCAATTTTTTCAAAAAATTTTGCACGCGTCATCTAGTATACTAATCCTTCTAACTTCTCAAAAAAACTCAACTCGTTAAGTCCAATTTTAAAAAAGTTATACTGTTCTAAAGAGTGTCCGAATATTAGTAAGAGCCACCGTATCTTTAGGTATACAGTAGATTTCCGTATCTTCCCGTAATTCGCGTTGTATGAAACCGTGCTACACCAGAATTTTTCTCTATAATTTAATTTATTTTCTTAAATTATTTACATAATTTAATGATTATTGCCACGTCAATTTTTATTTTCTAGACGAAGTCGGTAACGACGAGGAAAACAATGCAATGCTCAACTAAAGCAGATTTAATTTTTAAACGCGGGGAATTCCTGTATTTTATTATTTAGCGCGTTGTACGAGGAATCGCGTTTAATGAAAATAGTAGTCGCGATATCTTTGGCGCTTTATAGGAATTCACGTTATACGGGAGTAATTGTCACTAATCTGGAGTAGACAGCATTAAAATCCTGGACTTTTCTGCCTGAAACCCGGATACTTACATTTTTTCGATTAATTACGATATTCCAAGATAAAAACTTCTTTCTTGCGTTTTCGAAAGTCACTCCTAGAAAAACAGATGCATTGCTATCCAGTATACTTAGTAGAGATGCGTCTGACGCATGTTAGATCACCGCTAGATCACCGTTGAATAACATGTAACACGATAACACGGACGATCGGTGGAGGCCAACGGTTTGGACAGAAAACGAACATCGAAAAACTCGGATCACTGCAGAAAATCCCCCCGTACGCCTTAAAAGCTGGAATAAATCCAGGTGAACCCGGAAAGATGGCGACCCAATACAGGAATGCTAACGTTGAATAATACCGATTCGTCCAATGAACACAGCAAACTCATCACGTCTGAAGTGTGCCTCAGCGAAAGGGTTAAGAATACAGCAATTTACCTAACATAAGTATAGTCGCGTCCAACGCAGTCACCTGAACGATCGCAATCTTCATCTTGGCCTCCTTCAGCACGAAGAACATGATCAGGCTCAGTATCGTCGCGGCTACTACCAGGATCCCGCCGAAGAGACCTCTGAAAATTGTGAAACGCCGTGGAACAGTCGTAAAGTCTCAACGATATCGCATTAACAAATGAACGAACGAATAGAGAGAGAAGATGGATCCTATCGATTTAATTAAATTCCCTCGACGCTGACCTGTGAGAGCTGCTGCAATCGATGCTAAGGTGATACGAAGATCTCGTCGAGTTCTCGCTCTTTGCATCGATCTTCTCGTCCACCCTCTTCCACATCTCGAACAGTATCACCGCGCAAATTAAACTGAACTCGATTGTGCAGGGGAAAAGGAACGGGCTCGCGTCTCTCAGCAGCGACTTCAGTATACCGTCCTCGTCGTCGTGCGTGTGGCCCAGTTGATCGATCTCGTGTTGCGTCTCCTCGACCAGCGCCTTCGGGGCAAAGAAAACGGAATCGCTGAGGAGAACGCGTGAAAAATACACGCGGAAAGCACACTTATCGCAACGCCGGAAACAACGCTGGTTCTCCGCACCAGCTTCGCCACGCCTAGGGGATCAAAAGCTACGAAACTGGAGAATAGTCTCGTGGTCTGATAAGCGACTGGCTGTTACTACTTCGCATTTCCCCGGCAAACACACTGGGACTGTTAAGTCATTAGGATTAATACGTTTCCAGACGCGGGTCTGGAAATTCCCCGGTCTTTCGCAGCGGTGGTAAACTTGGGAGGCCATCGAGCATTTTACCTTCACTTTGAATTTCCATGTTTTTTTCCCACACTTTAGCTTTCTAAGCCTTTCGACTTCTATTTTCCATGTTTCATTAGCGTCGCAGCGCTGCCCAGATTTGTTACCTGCTGCGCCCATTGTTCGAGACACGCGGAGTTTCCGCGCGCGTCACTCAAGGGTGCACGGGCACTTGGGGGCGTCACCTTAGTTTTCGGTACCTAATGATTGTCAATCGCGTTAGATTCAACCACCCCCCTTGTCGAGTTCGAAAATGTAGTTGACCAACCCGCGTGTCTCACCCCTGCTGAAGGCTCGTATCCGAGGTGTCTTGGAAATTCTCCGAGCCCTCGATCGACAGAATCCATCTGACAACCGTAGTTCCTCAGAAAATAGTTATTTGTCCTCCTAAACACGGAGGCGGTCCTTCGAGACACGAACACGGTAAATTTAGTCTGCACTCCACGTGCAAATTCGACAAAGCTCATTTGTAACTACCACGGGCAAGATCAAACACACGCGTTTCCCATGAATATGAGAATAAACATCCCGCGTTTCACTTTGATAAACGCGGTTAATCGACACCGGACGGGGCTCGATGGAATTAAAGGTCGTCGAAATGCCGGCAGATGAGCTCAAAGTGATACCGTTTCTGACGGTGTATTCACTCGGTGTTTTTCTTCTTTTTCTCTGTTTTTTTTTCTTCTGGGTTCCGGGTAGAAAGGAGCGAAATATCGTTGAAATGTTTGCTGCTGTTTTCGGAGAGATAGCGATATCGCCCGGCAGAGTGGCGATGAGCAAATTTACTCGGATAACGGAATTTAGCAGTTCTAGTGTAAATGTTTCTTCTTTTTTTTATTCCCTCCCTCTCTGCAGCTTGGAAATTGTACAATTAATACCTCCACGCAGTGCGCAGCTATGTGTCAGCTACAATATTATTTTAATACGGTGTCAGATGGTAAAGACTGAAATATTTCGCTCGCGATGGGGATTAATATGTATATGTAGTTTCAGGTACGATAAAAAATATTGCATTCTTGACTAAAATTCAATATTAACTGGAATTTCACTTTCTAATTTGCGAGATGAACTATCACCGCGGATAAATTCACGTGTAATATTTCAGTGTTTCGTAATCGACGGTGAATTATAACGGCGAACGTGTAAAGCTAATATAATATATCCCACCAAGATGCGTCAGATGAAATACCAACTGAAACTTTCAGGTATTAATTCGTCGTTCTTTGTGAACAGATTAACCCTTTGACCGGTACATTTGCGTCATATTATACTTTACCTGGTCTGCTTTGATACGAACGTACGCACAGGGTGGTTCGATACGTCGGTGCCAAATTGATACGGCGTATTTAGCAGGTGAAATAAGCGAAAAAAGTTCGTACGAACCGGTGTCTGAATATGATTTATTAAAGTGCTATAAGGAATAAAAGGGGAGTAATACGCGAGGAATTTTCGAAAACGTCCGTCAATCACTATTTCGACAAATGGAAGCTTGTATTATTGTAGAAAGAGGAATTTCTGGATAACTGTTGTAACTTGAAGCTTCGCAAAGTTGGGATAATAGTGACTGACAATGGCGACAGTCGTTTGTTTATCAATGGACAACTAAATGTGCAGAGCTATGATTCTTTTATTGCTTATAATTTTTCAATAAATCTTGGTAAATATGCTGTATCAATTTGACACCAATTTTTTGAAACACCTTGTACGTTTCAATTTACAGTGCCGTTCGCAAGTATTAGGACATCCATTACGTTCCCATAGCAAGTATAATATAATTTTAATTGTGCTTCTTCGTCAAAGTTAGTATCACTTATTAGTAAAAAATTGTACTCGTTACACTACGAGATTTCAAACTGAATATTTTTGTTTAAGACTTTAATAATTTTGTAATAACTGTTTAGGTTTGCTTCACATTCGGTAAGTGTCCTAGTACTTATGAACTGAATTGTATTTTAACACATTACTATTTAGTCATTCCCTTGTTACACATAGGAACAACATTCTGGAAATTACTTTGGCTGCGCTGTAGTATTTGAGCCCACGCCTATGTTCCTAATTTCACTTATACTTTCCGAATGGAAAATTTGCGACAGCAGTAATCACCCATGTTGGACTCCTCATCAGGGACTCCAAAAAATCGAACACTCGTTCCACAAAACACAAATCTTTATATTTTATAAGCAGGTTCACGCTTCAGAGGTGAAGTTTCGAATCACCTCCCATTTTTCATCAATATTAAATCTGCTGCTAATTTTTGATAGATTTGAAGTTTATCTCAATTCTACATTCATCAATTTATCTCATATCAGTTCATTCGAACGATAAAAAATTCTCACAGTCGCTGACTTTTTTCTGGAAATTTTTGTGCAAATTGCAATGCTCGGTGATTCGAAACTTTTGGCCGGTAGTGTATGTACGTGACGTGAGGTGTGGTTAAAATTCGTGAGGAAGGGAGGTCTGTGCCAGGGTTCGAGGATGAGTGAAAGATCGGGGCTCGAAGATGAGTAAAGGATCGCAGTTCACGAGACAAGAAAGTACGATTTGGTGACAAACAAAATAGAAGAAAGAATGCGACGAATCGAAATGGAGCAAGTCTATCGAGACATGTGTTAGACACTACGCTTTCCAACGATGTATCATACGACCCAACAAACGCAGGCCCAAATACTACAATACTGCCATTAATTTCACCCTTATTCCTGTAAATTGTCGAAAACTCACCGTCTAAAGAGCTGAAACAGGTCTCTTATCGACTATCCATACCTGGAGCCACTCGCACAGATTGGTCGCGATCATGTGCATCAATCCCAGTTTCGCAAGGGCCGTATGCTTGGACAAATTGAGACTTTTGCTGTTGAGAAATATGAAGTGCATCTGGGCCGTGACCAGCAGCAGCCTGGCACCCGGTGTAATCGCCCTGAACGGGCCGGAAGCTATTTCCGCCCCAATTTGCAATCCCGTAAATACCAACGAGCCGGCGCCAAATCCCACCGCGCCGAGCCTCAGACAAAAGCTGCCGTACTGTTGCGTCTGGTGAACAAAGATTTCATTGTACGTGTGTCGCGTCGCTGAATGCGACCCGCTAATTAGAAAACGCCGAACCGCACCGGTCGCGAATCAACGCGCGTTTTCGATGGAAAATGTTTCGTGGAAATTGTTCAACCGGGGTGAATCGGTGTGACGAGTAATTGGCCAGCGAGAGCGAAACAGTTGTACAGGCGCGAGACACCCTCAAGGGTTTCTTTCTCGCGACGCTTCCATCGATGACGAACTTTTCATTAGGAAAAGTGTGCGCGTACGAGATGATTCGGTGCTTTGAACGTCATTTTACAAACGGTTATTTCACCTGTCCAACGTTCACCGGATCACCCTTCTCGTCGTACTTGAACGTCTGTCCTCTCTCGTTCTTCTGCATCCGGTTTCTCGCAGCTTTGTCTCTCAATACGATAATGTACATAGAGATCACGAATGTCACACTGACAACATATAGATATATGTAAAATCCCTAAACATAGACAGATTACCTTCCAAAGATGTCTAACATTCCGGACAGATGTATGGAGAAATCGTGTCTCCTTACCTGATTCAACGAAGCTGGAACTCTTTCGGTAACGCTAGCCGTGACAGGTACAGCGATACCGATCACGATTAGCAGTTTCGCGTAAAGCGTGCTCACGATCGACACCATTTCCGGGTGACAAACTCCGTTCTCGGTGAGAAGCTTCGGTCGTTGTTGTTCGATCATCTGTTGCTTCGCTGTTAGAATGAAAATTTCCAACGTCGTCTCTTAATTGCCTCGAACATTCTCCGCTTTCTCTAGCGATCGCTCCACTTACTTTTCGCCTGATCCAGGGCGTTCACAGGCACGTAAGTCGGGTTGATAGGCGTCAGGGGCAGAAAATTGGGACGTTGCTTTTGCATCTCGTGATCGTTCTTCTCCGGATGATTCTGATTGTTCAGCAACGGTGTTCTCGGGCCGGTCGTCTGTCCGGTTAGAAATTCCTGATCCTGAGGGATGCACGAGGGCAGCGACATGTTGCTGCCTATCCCTGAAATCAACGCTCTGCCGCGAGAGAGTGAGTAAAAGAGGGACGAGAGCGAGCGGGCGCGCGATTAAAAAATATAGAGCGCGATTTGATCGGGCGTTTACAGAGGACGTCGAAAATATTTAACTGTATCCAACAGGCCGAGCTCTCGCGTCAATACTCCCGGCGATATAAATTTAAACGAATCCGTTGTACCGTCACATCGAAAATATTTCGTTCGAAAGCTGAATTCAATGATCGTAAAATTATACGCTTTTTGCCCCTGTGTTTCACGCTAACCACTCCGGGGACCCTATAATATTTCAGCTTCGATACCGTTATTAATGCACCGTGCAATGATTAAATCGGTCGTGTTGTTGCTTCTATACGCGCATGTTATGTCGCGGGGAAATTTTCGTACAGAGAAGAGGTGCGGAAGAGAAAAAGGATTAGAAAATACGATATTACCCGAGAAGACCTCGTCGTTGGTTGATAACGGCAGTCAAGGACATGCTTTGTCTCCGTAGATGCGACGTTCTTCCTCGAGGCGACAACAGGTAGTCTTTTCCATCAGCCTCTGACGATAGGGTTATCGATGTCGGCGCATCGCGATTTCTAAACTCGGAACTGTTTTTTTTTTTTGGTCCCTCCGACGAGAGGTATCGTTATTTGAAAATGTACTTTCGACCGTGATACTAGGTTCTATATCTATGCTCTTCGATATTACTTACATCGTCGTTATATTGGATTGACTATTATTCATAGTCTATCGTCGTTTTCCCTGGGGATCGGTGAATAATACTCGTGGCTGAAAGAAGCGACAGAGCGGTTTAAAAAAAAAAAAACCTGTAAAAACAACCCGTTCACCTCGTTTCCTCTATTACTGCTGCTGTTGTTATTGTTGCTACTGCTACATTACTTTTTTTTTTTATTATTACTTCAGAACGCTATTATAGAATTTACGTAACACACGGGACGCACGGTTAAAAAGTTCTTTCCCCCCTTTTCTTTTCGCAAACGTTGCGTAACAATCGTTTCGGTTTATTCACCGGCAATGCGTCAAACTTTCTAGTTCGTCCCGGGGTTGGATAAGCTCGCCGCGGCCGTATTTGCTCGGCTGTTCTCGGCGGGGAAAACTTGGAAATTTATTCCCAGGGAAATTCGCCCGGCCGTTTTGAATTTTTAGTAGGCTGGCCAACTTCTTTCCACGCTCGACTCTCGCTTGGCCTCGTCTCGTCGCGCTTAAACGGCCGGCGACAAAAGCGATTCCCACCCTCGTTCAGCCGCGATCGTTGGAAAGAGCGAACCAGTCGCAACCCCCTGACGTCACCAGAGAAATCGCTCCCCATTATCACGCAGTTGCATCTTTCTCTCCTCTCTTCGAAATTTCACGATCTCGTTCGTCAACTCGTACCAATTCGTTCGTGACTAATTTTTCACCGGGAAGAAAGTTCCGCGAACAAGAGTCTCTCTCTCTCTCTCTCGTTCGTGCGCTTTCGCTCGTTTAGAAACGCGAAACTCCCACGACAGCGTGTATACGACGACGACGACTAGACTGAAAGTTGCACCTTATTGAAGGCGATTCCACCGACTTTGTGCACAGGTTGTGTGCAACGCTGACACTGTCGTTGTCGCGTAACCGGACCAACTTCGCCAACTTTCGTTTGAATCGCGTTAAACGAATCCCGGTGAACTGTGTGACGCTATCGGGCGCGTCACTCGGGTGAAACGCTGCTCCGCGCCGAGAAATCGAAGCTAGGTGTGGTAATGCCATTGGTGTTACGCATTCCGGCAACTATTCTCGACTCCGTGAATCGCACAAAAGCCACTTCGAGTTTGTGTGTGTATATATGTATATGTATATGTATATGAGTATGTATGTGTATGCCTTTGCGGAAAGGTAAGCGCGCTTTCATCGTCGTCCGTCGACACACGTTCGTTCCCTCTCCCACCTTACTCCTGTTTTGCAACGAAATTTCGAACACCGTGTAGTCTCTTTTGTACCGAACAACTAGTTTCTCGAGGGAACGTAATTAGCTTTCTGATCGATACAGGTGTTCTGAATCTTTTTCTTCGAATTTTCCTAGGTAAGTGCAGGATCGAAGTTACGAGAAACGTCACGAACGATGCTTCTGTTTTTCGAACGTGTGACCAACCGCGTCGACGGACGATTCGAGCGCGATGCATAATACAACAGGACGCGTTATTACCTTTCACGTAGACAAATTAGCTGATATCGTTCCGAAGCGTTACAAATTGTCGCTTTGATTAGCGAATCGGGGACGAACGAGTGATACGAGAAATCTAGCGCAGCGGCGTTTCGTATATGACCATTGACGCGATGATTTTTCAAGGAAACCCCGTCGATCGAACGGCGAATTTACACAAATAACGAGAGAAACGTTGCACGAATCCTTTCGTCCGGATGAAAAAATCAGAAATTGTTGGATAATCGTTTAACGCGAAATCGATCGACAGGAAAGGCGAAACAGCCGCGAATTCGCCCGCGATTCGCGCGACTCTGACTCGACGATCGACGGTTGCGTTGCATCGACGTGGAAGATCAACGGACAAACAGTCGGTGTCGTCGAGAGAAATTAGCGGGAGATCGCGAGAAATGTGGGAGTCTTTGTCGTAAACACAGGAGGAGGAAGCACACACATGTTGCTACCGTTCAAACCTGCATCAAGATCGTGCATTATTAATGGCGGACGGTTCAACGACAACACGTTCGTCGATCGATATTCTAAATGGATGTTGTGACTGGTAACCGTCGATTGTTTATTTATGCGGAATATTTCGATGCGCGACGATAACGCATCTGGTATTTGCATTTGTATTGCTTGATTACCTGAGAATTCAATTTCTGACGCAGTTTTAGGAACAATCGAACCAAGAAATATCGGCCATGACGTTCGAGAGTTGCTGTTGGCTCGTGCATTTTCATTTTCATTCGCGAGTCAGATGATCCACTCGGGAGGAACGATCGCTGGATTATCGAGTACGGGAGGATCGAGGATCGACAGGAAGTTGAGGACGGGCAGAGAGAGAGAGAGAGAGATGAAAGTGAAACGTGTGTATCGATGGAATTTGCGTTAATCGGAAAACATGTAATCCGTATCGAGGCGTACGTACATACATACATACGTTCTCATAAGTGGGGACCAGGATTTCTGCATAATTTTACGAGACTTCTGGTCTCGCGGCCCTGCCCGAGAGTTTATAGGGCGATTTTCTCGAGCGTAATCCGTACAAACGAGCCGGTTAAGTGGAGTATAAGCCGTTAATGAAGCCAGTATCATCATCCACGCGGAACGCCTCGATGTGTTTGCCGAAACAGTTCGAAAATTTAGACCGTGCCCGCTAAAAGGCACTAATTGTAGGCGCAGCCGATAATAGTTAGTACCTGCAGCCTAATTACCGCTCCGATGTGCAGTAGCAACGATCGATTCGACAAATCCCGTTTTACATCGGCTCGTCGTTGTCCTTGCCACTTTTGTCACGTTGTTCGTCCCGAGCTACGACTAATAACACGCTTTCCCCCGTGTCCCGCTCGATTTCGCTGATAATTCAACGACGATTCGTGGACAAAACTCTGTCTCCCGTTGGTTCCACTCTGTGGTGAAATTGTGGAGAACGGTGGGACAGGGGGGGAAAAAAAAGGAAAGAGAGAGGAAAGGGTTCAAAGAGACCGCGAAGCGGCATGCACGCGCGAATTCGACTCCCAATAGAGTTCAGATTGACGAGAATAATTCCGCTGGATCCGTCGGTTTGACGGCGGCGTGGTGATGAATAGTAATGCCCCGGATTAGATACGGTTCCAGTTTAATAATCACATTTTACCTGTGACTCTGGGGGACGCGAACTCCGAGGCCTGTCTTTCCGCATGCATGAAATTTGGAAAAGTGTGAAAATAGGGGAGATCGATCGACGGTGGCTCGTCGATTCGGTTCGATATTTCGTTTATAGGGAGCAGCGATTACTTGTACCGTGGTGTTTTTACGGGGTGTCTTATCGAATATACCGGGTGTCCCAATTTTTTTCGGATCAAACTTTGCCAGTACGTTCTATGGGTGTAGGTAAGAAGAAAATGTTGTATGAACGTAGGTCGTTTGAAGCTTTATTAAAAAGTTATCACAATAATACGAAATAGGAAAGGAATGGTAACGAAAGTGAGGTTATGTCTGTTTATGGGAGCTCTATTTACGATCTGAGGAAGTTGAAGATGTTGAATGTAACATTTACCAGCGCCATTGTTGTTTTGTATCATATTTGTTATAACTTTTTATTCTGGATCTTTAATTAGCGAATAAAGATTGACTCAATCGACTGCAGAGAAAAAAAAAGTTTATTGATAGAAATGAAATACAAAAGAACGGAGGCGAAAAACCCGAGTGAAAAACAGTTACTCAGTTCGGGGTTGTCGCACGACTACTTAAAATGCGGAGAAACATTTGTTACATACTCGGCATCGCCCCACGGTCAGCGGACCCATGGCTTTTATGGCCCGGCCTGGGCCTACGTTAAGCAGAGAAACTCGCAGTAGGAGAAAAAATTCAAAATATAATCCATTCTCAATAATTTTTAACAAAGCTTTCAACGTCCTATCTTTATGTAACATTTTTTTCTTATCAATGTCCATAGAAGATGCTCGCAAAGTTTCCTGACAAGTTGAGAAAAAAAACTAGAACACCCGGTATATATACTTCGTACATAAATACCAAAGAGAATGAAGTAACATTTAACGAAGAATTACAGCAACTGCAATACAACAAGGTGCCATAATGTAGCACAGGTGAGACTGGAACCTTCACAAGGTTGGTAATGACGCGAACAGTCCTGCCAGGACGACGAGCAATCAACCGGAAGCGAGCTCGTCGCTCATCCGAGTCACAGTCCCTGCCTATCCGACCTGCGACCTCTTTGCTCTTCGATTCTCTCTCTGTCCCTGGCCACTTTCTCCCTCTCCCTCTCTCTCTCTCTCTCTCCCTTCTCTTTGCACCCTCTTTATCTCTCTCTTTCGTTCTGTCTGCGCTGCTCGGGCTCCTAGCTCTCTCTCTTGAACCGGGCCATTCAACGGGGCCGCCCTTTCGCGAGACTCCTCTTCCCGGGGGCGGAACCAGGGAGAACCGGAAGTGCCCGGATATGAGTTTCCGGCGCGGACAATTTGCAGCGCAAAATTGAATGATCGACTCCGATAACCGTCGTTGCTCGTGCCTACCTATGTAGCCTGTCACGCTTCAAATTCCAAAGCGGCGGCGTTGTCAACGACCGGCTGCCTGCCGCCATTACGACGATTCGTTATCGTCATTACCGGGGCTCCGAACGAGGCCCGTGGAAACGCCTGAAAACGGTTCAATCCTAGCCACCCTGGACGACCATTTTTCGGTTCACTCATTCTCCGACATTTCCGGATGCTTCTTTCACCTTCGTTCTACTTTACCTACGTTTAACGAAGTTGCGCCTTTAATCGTGTCTTTGCAAAGGTGCCACGTATGCAGTGGGAGAAACTAGGGCAAAATTAGGCACTTGATGATAAATCATACATCATTGTCAATCTTGAGTGGAGTTGGCACAATCGGAGAATTAGATTTTTTTGTTTAAAAAAAGTATTTGGCTATTGAGGGAAATAAGATTTTGGGGGGTTTGAGTGGGAAGTATGTAAAATTTAGCGTAATTACAAAATTTTTATCTCTGTCTTCGAGAGTTACTTCGAGAGAAAAAATCGCAAAGAAACGTATCGTCCTCTTTTAAAGCATTAGTATAAGCCTCGTGAGCATATGATACAGCGGGTCTGACTATCTTTTGATTTTCACTGAACGTAAGGTTCATTGTTTGGAATTGTTATATTTATTAAACTATTCTTTATTCTTTACGAGACGACATACAATACACGACATGAGACTTTAGACTGTAGACTTTTGACTGTAGCGTCTAGGCGAGCCACGCGGCCACAGGCCTTAAAACAAAAGATCGCGACTATTTTGCCGCTGTCTGCCCTCACATGTCATTGCTTGCTCGACTCTCAACAGCAATTGACGTCATTTCCCATCGAGCTAAACGACGACGTAACCGAACTTGGTGTCGTCTTTTGTAATTCGGCCGATTGTAAATCGTGCCTCTAACTGGCGAAACCATAATCCCACCTTATGTGGCCAAAAGGTGAGGTTAATCACTTCCTTGGTAGTATCAGATTCTCCATGTTGCAGATTGTTGTCACTGATAAAATTCACACTCACGTATTCCGTTTAAAAAACTGATCACGTCGGGGTCACCAATTTCGAATTGTCGTGGTGTGAAATAATTACTGGTAGGTTGTATAATCAAAATATATATATACTTATTTTATTTCAATTAACACTTGAACTAATTTTTATACGTAAATGACACGACGCGTGTAGAATGCAGGTCTACGACAAAAAGTCTCATGCCTTTTTCGGGGTTGCCCAAGCACTACTCTTGCCCTCGAGGACGAAGAAACCCAGAGATTTTTGGAAAACATCTCTTGACTCTTCGCTTCGAGGGGCAAGAGTTGCCTGGCCTACTAAGTAGGCCCACCGTGACGGCCGCGAAAATTCCAAAATATGCAGCCTGCGTTGAGATCCTCATTCGAGGAACAGATCTCTTCATGATGATATTTTTGTTGTTTCGACACACATCACAGTTTTTATCATAGAGAAACAGCGATACCCAACTCGACCTACTTTCCTCTACATATACAGTGGAGGACAAAAGTATTCGTACACCCTGTAAAATGGAATAACTTTTTTGAAATTCGGCCAAACGACTTGAGTTTGTTTGAGAAGTTAGAAAGATTAGTTTACTAGATGACGTGTAAAAAAATTTGTGAAAAAACTGCAATTAGTCGGAATCGCGAAGAAGTCGTTTTTACAACTTTTTTATCTGAGCTCGTAATGAAAATTAAAAAAGTACGTTTTGTAGATTTATGTCAATTATACGCATGCTGAAAATTTCATCGAAATCGGTGGATGGAGAAAGAAGCGACAGGCATCGAAAGATGTAAGAATCTGCAGATTTATTAGTGAAATAGTGCGATTTTCACAATATTCAACCGTTTCTAGCTCATAGCAACATTAACCGTGCATAGTAAACTAATCTTCGTAACTTCTCAAGCAAACTCAAGTCGTTTGGCTCAGTTTTAAAAAAGTTATTCCATTTTGTAGGGTGTACGAATACTTTTGTCCTCCACTGTATGTACACATTACAGGCCAAATTTTTGGATCACTGTGCATTACACAAAAGTTTCCAGAAAAGAGACAGCAATTTCAATAACAGTTTATCATTCAACTCAATCGATATAAGGTAAATTGCTATCGATCTCCGCAACATCAGCCTCAATATTGATGCAAATTTTGACCGGTAGGTACCCAGTACCCATCTATTTCCCTATAATGTCCTTCCACGTAACCAAGTTCCAAGAAAAAACACCCAAGAATTTAGTCACTAACCCTCCCTTAAAAAAACATAATCCTTCCAAAAAGC